ATCTGCCCAGAAACATCATCCCACCGCCAACATCGCAGCCTTGCACCGCCAGCTCCGCAGCTTCTACTGCCAACCTCCCACAATACCCCCCATCCTCTCCCAACCCCCTTTTCTGGCCCCCAGCCCCGTCCCCTGCACCCCCAGCCCCCTCCCCTGCTCCCCCCACACAGCTTCACACCACAGCCAACCCAGTCCCCTCCTCTGCTACCCCAGCCCCCACTGCTTCTCAACCCCATCCCCAGCCTATCTGCCCCAACGCTGCCCAGAACCGCCAACATTTGACTTCACCGCCTCCACTCGCCGCAGATCCGAGATGGAGATGAAGAAAGGAGAAGAAAACGAACTGTGGCAAGGAATAGATGGCGACAGAGGATTTAGAGGCGGCCTTCCCTGGTGACTGGCATAGGCGAGGCGGAGATCTGGTCGGCGGAGCGGCGCAGAGATCTGGTCGGCGGAGCGGCGCGGAGATCTGGACGGCAAAGGATAATACTACCCCAACGATGCTTATTGCCGCCGAAGTCCTGTGCGTAAGTTGAAAGAAACGGAAGTGCTATGTTGAAGGAGTCAGTTTTGTGGGATATTTTAAAATGGTCATAGTTTGGTCTAAGAGAAGTTGAGAAGTTATACGGAGGCCATTATTTCATCTAAGTAACCATTTGGTAACACTGAAATTGACTGATTCAGTTAAAATGTCAAAGTCCTTGTATTTTTGCGAAAAATTTAATTGGGTTCTTCTACTATTTTTCGAATCAATCATGTCCATCAAGTTCAAAAAATTAACCAAATCTTCTGTTTGAGCGGTAAACAGCCGGTAACCCATGTTTCTGCTGATGTGGAGGCCCATGTGGCAATACTTTTTACTTTTTTTCTTCTTCCTATTTTTCTTTTCCTCTCTATTTTTTCTTTCTTCCTTCTTTCTCCGTTGAACGTGCTGACTTCTTCTTCCCAGTGCATTGAAGTATTGAACCAGTACCTTTCTTCCCTCTGTTTCATTTTTTCTTTCTTTCTTCCCGTTCACTATATTTTTCTTGATTTTCTCCCTCACCCCAATTTCTTTGTTTACAATCTCTTTTCTTATATTCTTCCCGATTCTCTTCCTTTGGATGGGTGTCGGCGGTTGAGAAGTTTCTTGCGGACGAATGCTGGGCGGCCGGCAGCGATTGGGGAAGGCATGGGAGACGGGTGGCGCGCGACATCCATTGGGAAAAAATGTAAGGTGATAGAGACTATATAACCAAGCCCTATACGTCGATCCAAATCGGCGAGGAGTTGGACGGGGGTTGGGGGCGGTAGCCCCCTTCGGGGGTCCGGGGGCGAAGCCCCTCGACCGAAATTTTTTGGTCCGTTTTTTATGAACAAGTTTTTCGTACAGTTTTCGTACAGATTGGGCCGTACGGATGTGGGTCACGCGAGTTATGTTTTACTCTCTATAAATACAATCTCTTTCCCTTGTATTCCCTTGATCCGAAAATATTAATCACTTGTCTGGCTTGGTAGCACCCCCAGACGTAGTCATTCGTGGCGAACTGGATTACCAAATTTTCGTGTTTTCTTTATTGTTCTTCGTGTTGCGTGAGTTAATTCTTAACAACAAAAAACACACTCAAATAGAATTGAGATCAAATGTGGAAGAATAGCTAATGCAATTCCTAATGCAACCAGACAATCATTGCATAGCTGAAGTCCGGATGTTTAATTGTTTATTGCCGAGATAAAGAGCCGAAATCCAATCGAGGGGATGTACAAAGAAGATACGGAGTATATACGGAGTACTTACGTTTCTTTCATGAAGGTGACGTAGAGGATTATTTTTGGTACAAGGTTGAGGATAAAGGACGTTTTTACTTGGACTGTAATTTGCTGGTCGAAATAGTGGGCTCAGAATGGTCGAAACGAGGGGGGCAATTGGCAAACGAAAAGATGAATTATGACATACGGCCATGAGGAATACTGACGATGAAATCTTCTTTAACGGCAAAGAGGAGGAATTTATTGGATGCCGTTCAAGTGAGCCTTTATATAAGTAGGGGATTTTTTAAAAGAAAAAGAGTTTTTTGCTCTAAATAGGATTAAAATGTTGCTTAAATTCCAAAATGGGATTAAGTATATTTCTATTCTCTAAATAGGACTATTGTACCAATTTGCCCCTCCATTAAATTTAATTGTACGGCACCCTACTTTGCCTGTTGTTCTACTCATATCATACGGACTAAATGCATCGACAAATCTGCAAAAGCCTAGTGAGGGATTTCAATGTTGCGAACAGAGGCAAGCAACCTTCAGCGGCGGCGAGCAACCTTCAACAGCGGCGGACAACCATCAACGGCGGAGAGCGGCAGAGAGCGGCAAAGGTGCGGCGGCAAGCGACGGCGAGTGGAAGGCGGTGAAGGAGCGGCAACGGCGAGCTGTAGTTCGATCTCAGATCTGGTTTTGGACTTCAAGCTCGGTGTTCTCCCTCTCTGAAATTCTTCTTCATCTTCTCGAATCCCTCCTCTATTCCGTTTCTCTCTTTTCCCTCTTTGACAGTCCATAATCACTCGACGATGGCAAACACCTATTCATCTTCTTCATTTGGTTTGTTTTTTTTAAATGTCAAATTTTATTTAAAAAAGCCAATAAAATGGCATTTTTACTCTTCTAAAATGCCATTTTCTGTTTTGAAAATGCCATTAACATGGAATTCCATATTCATGTTGGCATTTGGATAAACATGTTGGAATAAGTGGCAGTGACTGCCAGATCTGTGGTTGAGGATGCCAGATCCGCACAGGCGACGGCCGGATCTACGCGGCGGCGGCCGGATTTACGTGGCGGCTGCCAGATCAACGGATGCGGTGGCCATATCCACGGCAGCGACGTCCAGATATGACAGTGAAGCAGCAAGATGTGCAGCGGCCGCCGGTTCTGCGGCGGCTCCGGCGACCGGTGATCGGCAAAGGTCCAGTATCCTGTTTTGCCAAGCTACGGGTTGTTTCTGTCCAAGTGCAGAAATTAACTCCTATCTGGGAACATTTTAAATTTTACTCCTATTCTAACAATTAAAGATGTATTTACTCCCACTTAGGGAATAATCCCAAAGAAAAATTAGAGGTGATAAAATCATAAAAGTGATACTAAAACCAAATGTCAAACCAAAGTAAAAAGTTCGGTTTAGTTTTTTGTTCAAAAATTTGAAACCACGGTTTGTTCGGTTTGGTTTATTTCGGTTTTTTCGATTTTTACCAAAATTGTTTTGTTGATTAGAAAAATAATAATTGGAAAACAAAAACAAAAATTAAACTATATCAAACTAATATTAATAGTTACAAAATACAAAAACAAACATAATTAAAAAAAAAGAAACAAATTCACTTCCAAGCAATGAATTAGAGAGTATGTGTATATCAATTTAAAGTTTTCTAAATTAATTATACACGTGAGTTAATTTGTGAATTATTTAGCGTCTATTCGCAAGTAAAAATTTCATTAGTAAATAATTTATTCTACTTTCCTTTTAGACAAAGATATTTATGTTCTAAAGTTTCACGTTTTCTGCTATGTTGTTTAAAGTATAGTTTATATTAATACTTACTTGTTCAATACAAAAAATTATGTGATAACAAACGTATATACCTAACATATAATGTATCAACAAAATATCATTGTCATGCAACAAGCAAAATGTAAATTACGATTTAAAATATCAACACATTAGTATTATACCAATGGACTTAAGTGTATGTACAAGTGTTTCACTTAATTAAACCATAAATATTAAATTTCAATATCTTGCAAATCATAACAAATCTAGTACGTAGTATCAAACATTATTTTTCTATAATTAAGAATTAAGAACTAAACAAAACAGTATACTTAATGATTAATAAATAATACTCTCTCCGCCCCGTTGGGATGTTCCCGGTTTGACCTACACACGTATTAAGGAAAAAAACTTATCAGGGGGTAAATTTTACTGTTTTGACACTGTTTGGCACTGTTTTGCACTGTTTGACACTGTTTTGATGTAGGATAACTTTCCATTAGGGAAATGAGATCTTCTTTTTGGGACATCCAAAAAAGGATAGCGGGAACATCCCAACGGGACGGAGGGATTAACTAGTTTAAAAAGTTCGGTTGATTCAGTTCGGTTTTTGAGATGTGAAAACCAAAACCGAAACCAAACAACTATTGTTCGGTTCGGGTTTTTGAGTTCGGTTCGGTTTTCTTGAGATTCGATTGTTTTGGTTGAAGTTCGGGTTTTTTCGATTCGGTTTTCGGTTTATCCGACCCACCCCTAAATTACTCCCTGCCCATTTATTAACCATCCCGGCTAGGGGTGGTTCGGTACGGTATACCGAATATTTTATCGCATACCTTTACCATACCGTAAACTTTCGGTATGCAAAAATACATACCGTTACTATACCGAAATTTCGGTATACCGAAAATTCGGTACGGTAAGGTACGGTATCGGTAAATTACCATGATTTAATGTAACAAATTATTATATGTCAAATGAAATAAAAAAATAAGTGTTAATAGTGATATATTAAAATCATTAATGAAATTAATTATAAAATACCAATGAGATAACCTATTTGTGTTCTATTCAACTTTTGACAAAAAAATATTATAAATATGTATATATATTTCAACACATGATATATGAAGATAACAACACATTCTGCTAAAATAATTTAAACAACATAAATATAACTAAAATAACACCGATCTCCAACAAAAAGTATAAGTAATTCAAGAAACATGGATATAAAGTCATGTATTTCTAGTTATTTTTACAATTTCAAGGAAATTATTGACTTGGAATTACGGTATGACGGTAAGATGGTATACCGGTATACCGTTTGTTTCCAAAATATATACTGATACCATACCGAAGTAATTCGATACGGTATCATACCGTACCAAAAGCGTCGATATACCAAACATTTCGGTAAATTCGGTATTTTTCAACATGATAAATCCGGTATACACAAATTTCTTTATTTTTAAACCCTAATCCCGGCCCTCTCTCTGTTCTGCTATGCATTAGCCAATACTTCATTTGCGCCCATCCCATCTCCATCCCTCAAATTTAAGCATGATTGAGAAAAAGCTGGAATACGATTTTCTGGAGCTTCAACGGGAAGTAGAAACTAATGTTCTATTTCCACATAAATATGATTTTGGCACTGTGTGTACCTGCGAAGACTGCTTTCAGAAAGTCAAGATGCTTAAGAAATTCGAGGAAGAGCTGCAAGCTAAAAGGGAGCTAGTCAGGGTACACATTTTAGCTACACAACACACACACAGACAAGCACATATATAAATAGATCTTGTTCTTCTTCTTCTTTGATTTACAAACAGGACTGTATAGATCTACAGCAGGACAATTTTGAGCGCTGCTTGCATCTTGCTAGCGCCTCCCAGTGGGCTATAAGTATGTTGTGTTTGCTTCGCAATAGCCACAAAATAGTTTCCAAGGTATACTAGTGATTCCCGTTTAAAAATAGTGTTTTTTCTAAACAAAACTTTGTAATGGGGTGTGTTACTTTCTGTTACAGAAGGGAGGACTATCATCTACGCTTGAAAAGGACAAATTGGAAGAGCAAATGGAACATTTAAATGATCTGACAGCCAATTTGCTTTTTGATCATTTGATTAGTAAACCCGTGGTTATAAGTGAGCGTTGTAATGATAAGGAGGAAACTGATATCCTTCCTCTTGCAAAGGAGATCAGAGATGGGGTAATTATTTTGCTCTTTTGGAATATACTACTAGTACGTACGGAGTAATAGATTAATAGACTCTTTTGGATTTCTTAGTAATGCTTCTTTTACACCAGTAACCTTGAATCATTAGCTTTTCAACTACAGCTTTTCGTGGAGATCTTTAATCTACTTATCAAATGCCATCAGCCAACCTTGCCCTCATCATTTAAAAGAATAATCCTGAACTTAAATGTAACCTGGATAAATGTTCTATTACATTGTTTCAAAGATTAGAATTTTTATAAAGATCATTTTTTTTGCTTTACGTTTTATTGGTTTTGTATTTATTGTAAAAGTTGGGCTTTTCTTTTGACAGTTTTACAGATACGGGATTACCAAATTTAAGGAAGTCACCAGTCCCATTCTTAAAGAGCTTGAACAGATCGAAAAAGAACATATGCAGGAAAAGAAATCTGCTGAAGCACAAAAGAAACAGCTGGACCCTATAATTTCCAAGAAACAAATTGAGAAACAAATTATGGTAATTATCTAACCTGCCAGCAATCCTCTGGTGTACTTGTATTGTTCTCTGTTTGTGCTAAGTAGTTTGCATATCAACTCAATTGTAGGTGGTAAAGATGTTGCCACTTAATGAATTGTATCTTGAATGTCAAAAGCTGGTTGATGCAATTTCCCCCTTTGATGAGCGCAACACTTGGTTGTCAAAAGCTTATAAAGACATTATATCCACTCTTTCTGATATGATAAGAGTAAGGTTTGAGTTTTGGCTACGATATCAGGTGGGTATTATATTGTATACATACACACATCTTCATCTTGTTTGATGCCATGTTGCTAGACCTAACCTTGTAAGCTGTTAATCAGAGTGCTTCCCTTACTAAAAAGGACCACATCATGAGTGGATTGAAAGATACACTTGAATCATTATGCAAGAAGGTTTGTTGAACTAAGATATCCTAAACCCTTTATGTTTAATCAATACTGAGCATATATTTGTTGTGTATAATCTGTGATATCTCTAATGAACTAGGCTGCTTTGTTCAATGGTCGGTGGGAGGAGGACTATGCTCCTTACTTTACTGCCTATGAACGAAAAGATGCACACCCCAAAAGGCCAAGGATTCAATAGGCGGATGCTGGGAGGATGTTACTTTTGACATATTTATATAGGGCGTTGTATTATACGGAGTATATCTAACGCTTTTTTGTTGAAGATGAGTGCTTGATCTTAATGTATATTCTCAAAATTGGGATATTGTAATGTATTTAACTACAGTTAGACCGGCTGGCTTAAGATGGAATTTCAAAGTTGATTTAACAATCGGATAGTTGTTTTGTTACTGCAGCATTATGCTGATGATTTATTAAAGGCAATGACTTTCTTGAGCTTGTCCATTGTTAGAGCATCTCAAAGAAAACATTATTTACAATAATTTAATTAATGTTTTACTTATTTGAAGTGTAAAAAATAATGAGTGAATTTTATCAAAGAGTTAATACACTATAGTACTATACATAGCATGTTTGATGATTCTATTTTTTTTGGCTTATCAGACCTGTCAACTAATTTTTTTTATCAAACACGTACCTTTTGATTTTGTACACCGAATTGTGCAATAATAAGAAAAGGAAAGATTGAAGTTACTTTTATGACTGTATTGGCTGAAGTTATTGTAGATATGAGTGAATTGGTTCCGGGCCGGGTACCCTGCCTGGCCCGGCCGGGCTTTTCGTTGGGGAAGGGAGAACCGAAACCGGCTCGGGTAGGCAGCGGTTCCTGGTCGGGCCACCCGGCTGGTTACCGGTTCGGGTTGGACCGGTTCCGGGCTTAATTTTATTTTTTTTTGTCCAATGAATTCAACAATTGCTAGATATAAAAAAGTTCAAGTATATTTATTTGAAATAAGAAGTACAATTGGGAATCGAGAAAAATTTAATAAATGAATTACATTTTCTAATAAATAATCAATCGGAATCGCCGCCTTCGGTTGTTTCCTCCATAAAGTGGCGGGTGGTGGCGACCGGGCGATGCTCAATTCTTGAGTTCTATGTTGGGCCTTCAACCAATCGTGGAAGCAAACAAAGCGTGTCAAGAGAGTTTGGACTCAATTTCGTTCTATAATCTGTTAGGATGTTGCCGGCCGCACTAAATTCTTGTTCCACGACAACTGTTGATATCGGCATTGATAAAACCGGGAACGTTCTTTCTTTTTCCTCCAACCACTTTAGAACGTTAAAGTCATCATGTTCTTCATAATCAACAGGAAATGTTAGATACATAGAAAGCTCGTTAACTGAGCTTTGTTCATTAACGAGAGTTGTTTTACTTTTTTTTCATAAGATTGCCAAATGCAAATTTAAAAATTGATTTTCCTTATATTTGATACTTTAATATATATAGGTATATATTAACTAAATGTAATATGTAAATATAAGTAAATAACAATAAGTATAGATAATAAGTAGATATCAAGTAAATATTAAGTAGATAATAAGTATATATTAAGTAGATAATAAATACGTAGTATTAGTAATACAATGTATGTATTTATAAGTAGAATATTAATATATAAGTAGATATAATAATTATATAAATAATATAGATATGTAGAGAGAATTGGAGAAGATGAAGATGATTAAGATTTAAGAGTATGAAAGAATGAAGAATTAGAGAGTACGAAGAGTTGGAGAAAAAGTGTAAAAATGTATAGAAAATAGGAGTATAAATAGATTGTTTTTTGTATCCCAACCCCCTACCCCAAAACCCACAGGACCCCCTCCTAAGCCTCCAACGGCTATAGAGCCGTTTGGGAACAGTCCCAACCAAGGTTGTTAAACTCGAGATCTTTGCACGGATCGGACGAGGTCTAGGAGATCGTAACTCGGGGATCGTAACTCGGATCGTAAGATCCTAGAATGCAATATATATACATAATATATATATATATATATATATATATATATATATATATAATTATATATATATATATATATATATATATATATATATATAATTATATATATATATATTCACATGTATATATAATTCAATTCTATGTAAAATTGTAAACTTTAAATTAATTAATAATAATGATAATAATAACATAATGTCAAGACTCAAGGCAGTAATATAAAACACTTAACATAGCAAGTTCATCAATAAATTGCAAAACATCAGAGAACAAATTCAAAGATGAAGTCTAAAAAGATATGGCATAACAAAATAAAATACTCATATAAAATCATCAATCATGGTATCTTCATCATCTTCAATGGGAGGAAGCAGTAAATCATCACTTGTAGCACCCAGAGCACCACTAGTTTGAGCAATTTCCCCAACATCCAGTATGTCCTCCTCCTCAACATCATCACCATCAAAGTCATTGTCATCATCACCATCCTCCACAATCCATTCATCATCAGAAGCCAGCTCATCAACATTGTAATCATTTCCTGTTCTCTTGCGCTTCCTTGTGCCCAACCTCGAGTTAGCCATTACAAAAACAACATCATTCATTGTCTTTTGTTTCAAACGGTTTCTTCTTTTGGTGTGAACCATTTGAAAAGCACTCTAATTCCGTTCACAACCAGATGAACTACAAGTCAAGCTCAACACTCGAATGGCAAATTTTTGAAGTTCAGGATGCTCGTCGCCATATGATTCCCACCATTGGGCTGGAGTTTTGGTCTTAAGTCCTTGTGCAGCTATTGCACTTCCAAAAAACCCCTTTTTGCTTTTGAAGTCTTCTAGTTGAGCATCAATCTTGCCGATTTCTTCAATATCTCCCACCAACCTTCCTAAGCAATCATACAATCCCTTCTTCACTTCATAATCAGCTTTGAAATTGGGGCTATAATGCATCATGGGATTCAAATAATATCCTGCTGCATGAAGTGGTCTATGCAATTGCTTGTCCCACCTCTCATCAATAATATTCCACAACAGCATATAGCTATAAAAAATAATTGTTAGAAATTTATCATTTTTTTTAGTAAATTATAGACTAAAAAGAACTTAGTAATAATAACCTAATATTAAATTAGGAAGTTTATGTATCTTTGGAAACTCTTTTTAGTATAAATATATCTGCCAGGTACCCTATTAGGGTAACCTCTTTCCCATTATTTCACATGGTATCAAGAGCCAAAAATTTCTTTTTCTCTCTCTCCTAAAACCCTCAATTTTTTTTTTCGGCCATGACCTCTGCCGCAGATGTCTCCACCGCCGAGACTATGCCTTCTTCTGCCGCCATCTTTTCCTCTTCAATGGTGGCATCCACTAATGCTTCTTCTTTCTCCACTTCGGCGCCGGTATCCGCTTCTTTTACCGATGCAGCCAGCGTTTTCACCAGCATCGAGCCGCAGCAGCAAGGGATGTCTGCACCAATGGAGTCGATAGTTCATCCTCTATCTTCCTCCTTCACGATCGAGACTCCTGGAGCATACTCCTTGTTTCAAACCATCCCCTCGGCTCTTCCATGGCAGACGCCTGCTATACCCAATGTTCCTGGCAGTTTCTTCTCCAACCCGCCTCCTGCTGTCACGCCCCAACCGCAGTCAACTCCAGCATACTTTGATTCCACCTTCTCCGGTGTACCGGGATTGTCCAGGCCGCCAGAACAGTCTCTGTTTCAGTCCCCGATGGCAGCCATATCTCAGTCTATTTCCCCGGCCAACAACGTTACTCAGATTGTTACAATCAAGCTTAAAGCAGTGGAAGACTACATCACATGGCGCACTCAGTTTGAATCTTTTCTCGTCTCTCAAGGTGTTTTTGGCTTCTTGGATGGTTCCATAAAGGTACCTCCGATGCACACAGTTGATTTTTGTTGGGTTAAGGGCCCAAGCCGAGGTCCGGCCCACTAACCCATTTTGCCAGACGAACGTCCAGTTAGAACACTAGGCCAGCCCACAGGCCCATGTTCCTTGAGGATGGACGAACGTCTGGTGTTGGAGGACTCAGGCCCAGCAGCTCATTCCGACGAACGTCTATGCAGGGACAAGGAGCAGAGCCACGGGCCACCAGGGATGGCGACGAACGTCCCCAGAGCAAGCCTGTAGTCATCGGAGAAAACCCAGTGCACATGGTGAGTATCTATCAAGGCCAGGAGACGAACAGCCAATATCCCTCAAGGGTCACTTGGAGCAATCCAACTCACTTCCCGGGTGGACGAACGTCCCCACTGATCCGGCGGGAAACCTAGATTCTGGCGGGAAGTGCATTTAATGCTAAAGATTTGGTAGTTGGGACACCAGCGGTCCACAGGCTGCCACGTCAGTACAGCCACCTGCCCATTGGCGGGTATAAATAGAAGCATTTATTTCATTGTAAAGGGTTGGCAACTTTCTATTCTTAGCATACTAGCTTCAGCATTCTTACTGGCAGCGTCTCTAACTGCCTTGTAAGACGAACGGCCGACGTGCCTTTTTTAGCAAGTAGATTGTACTTAGGGGAGTTATTACGAAGTTAATAATACCTATTTACATTGCCTGCTATTACTCTTGTTTCCTGATTCATCTAATAGTTGTTGGGCTAGATAACCATACACTCACTCCACTCGAAATCTTTGGGCTTACGTGTTGGGTCCAAGGGTTGAAGGAATAAACCTCAACACTGGCGCCGTCTGTGGGAAACTGAGCAAAAAGTTTCCAGAAACTCTCCCAAACAGCTACTAAGTCTACCTACAGCAAACACGATGTCAGGAAGCAACAACCAGCGTGATCTCTCCGAGCGTCTGGAATCGAGCCGCCGGAATCGCGGCCAGAACTCGGAACTATCCGCAACAATATGGACTTCAGGGGGAAACGGGGGTATCACTGACCTCATCCCCCTGGAGGCCAGGCAGGATCCCCGTCTCATGCGTGAACTCGCAGACACCATGCGTCGCATGGCGGACGAGCGGGAGGCCCGAGATCAGGTGTACTCTGCAAGCACCCAGCGAACGCCCCTCTCTCCCATACGCCGCATGCAGTCGTATGATGATACGACGGGATCCAGCGACCACCGGCCCTCCGTCCACGAGCGGCTAGGTGGGGGTTCAGGCTCCCGTGAGACGGGAGGGCGGACCAGGATTAGCATCGCTGCATCCAGGGCTCTCACACCATCAGTTCCTCGCCAGATTCCGCGGGGAGACGAGACCCCAAAGGTCAACACCGTTGGACGACGTTTCCAACGGCGAGGTGCGCAGATCTTCAGGCGGCCGCACGATGTTGTGGCCGCTCAGCAGAACGCCACCCCCGAAGCCGCGCCCCCTGTGTCCCCCGGAAGGGCCGCACAGGACGCACGGCTGGAAGCCATGGAGAGGCAGATAGCCGAGATGAATAGGCGGGCGGACGTCGGCTCGGCCACACCCTCCTTCTCTCTCACATCACCTTTTACTCCACGGGTGATGAGCGTCGAG